TTTCTTATTGTCTTGATAATTATCTTGAAATTTCATAAGTGGAAAAAAGATTTGTATTGAGAACCATATTCAATATATGATATGTTATGATATATTTAAAGACATAAAAAAAAACTATTGACTATTTAATAGAAAGACTATTTAATAGAAAATTAGAATTATTATTTTTCATCAATTTGAAAAAAATAATAAAGAGTCTTTTCAAATTAAAATTTAAGTTGTTAAATCGTTTTATGATCATTACATAATGGAAACAAAGAGTATAATAAAACACTATTATTTATCTAAGTTAACTATAAGTTTGTTGGACAGAAAAACACAATAAATAAATGGCTAAGATAGTAAGATTTGTTGGTCTCGAGTTCAAGTCTTGCTATAAGCATTTTTTAGCTGTCAAAATTACATAATGGAAACAAATAGTATAATAAAACACTAAGACCCTGTTCTTTTGAGCTTCTAGGCAGAGCAGAACAGGAATCAGCAGAGCAGAACAAATTTCAGCAGAGCAGATTTCAGCATTATTATTATTAGTATTATTATTGTTGTTGTTGTTGTTGTTGTTGTTATTGTTGTTGTTGTTGTTAAATATTAATTACTATTATTATTAAATATTAAATATTATTAATACTAATATTATTATTAAATATTAATTATTATTATTATTATTATTAAATATTAAATATTATTATTATTAAATACTACCTCCGTTTCTGGAAGTTCGACTCACTTACTATTCATGTGGTCAAAATAAAATAACTTTGACCACATGTTCTGATTTATACAATAGATTTAAATTAGCACGAGGGATCTTATTAGATTTCCTTATTATAGATTTTTCAAATATCAATTTTTTATAATTTTCACTTATACATAGCCGAAGACATTCATGGTCAAAGATGTTCATTGAAGACCGCGCAAATTCAAAGTGAGTCGAACTTTCAAGAAAGGAGGGAGTATTTATTATTATTATAATAATAATTATTATTAAATATTAATTATTATAATTATTATTAAATATTAATTATTATAATTATTATTAAATATTACATATTATTATTATTAATTATTAATTATTATTATTAATTATTAATTTTTTATTATTAAATATTAATTATTATTATTATTATTAAATATTAATTATTATTATTAAATATTAATTATTATTATTATTATTAAGTATTAATTATTATTATTATTAAATATTAATTAATTTTATTAAATATTAACTATTAATTATTATTATTAATAATTATTATTTTTAAGCAGAGCAGAGCAGAGCAGAACAGCTCAAAAGAACAGGGCCTAATTATCTTATCTAAGTTAATTATAATTTTGTTGGATAAAAAGCACAATAAATAAATGGCTAAGATGGTAAGACTTGTAACTCGTTGGTCTTGAGTTCAATTCTTGCTATAAGCATTTTTTAGATGTCAAACCTATTACATGTTGTGAAGGTGACATGTCATGTTTACAGTGACACGCATGTTGTGAAGGTGACATGTCATGTTTATAGTGACATGTGGCACATATTGCTGACGTGTCATGTTTATAGGACTTAAAAAAGTTGACACGTGGAACATATTATATTTTAGGAACGCTTTTTAATATATAAATAACGTATAGAATTTTTTAATGTGTATAAACCATTAGGGCATCATAATTTACAAATTACAAATGAGAGAAGGGAATTTTGAACTTGTGACCTATTGTTTGTAGACCCTTTTAATTTTCATTTGCTATTAGGCTAAGACCTCATTGATATATTGTATACACCTTACATAAATGATCCATATACACTAACCCAAATCAAATATAAGTGTTACCTTAGCTCGAAAATGGATATATGGAGTTTTTGAATTAGTCTTATTTAACTAGTACTTGCATTGATTATTTTTATTATGAAATGATTTTTACTTGAATCGAAATTGACCTAATATAGCGACTTTAACTAACAGAAAAGACATTGGTTTGTTACAGTACTAGATTAGATTCTGTGCCATGTACGGTAATTTTCATTGTTTATTATTAGTTTAACACTATATTTAATTATAAAATTATCTAGTTGCAAAATAAGATGAAAAATTCGTAATTACAAAAATAAAAATATAATTATATTATACTAAAGAAAATAGTGGGAGTATTACATGCACGACTATAAATATCATTCCTGATTTCACCTTTAATATAATATATTTCTGTGTTAGAGTCAAATTGATGCAATATAGTTATATAACATAAAGATTATTATTCTTTTTTCAATTTTTATTTCGTACTATAAATTAAACCCATTTGATTGTAATATATCAGAAAACATATCATTTCAAGTAAATAACATTAATATTAGACTATTAGTAATAAGAATCTTAAAATACTATCATAATATATAAATTAAATATATATAATTTTATTGTCTTAAATAAGTTGTCAATAAAAAAGATATAAAAAGAAAAATCAAGTTAGAATATGTTTATTTTGGAAAATGGTTTTTGGAGGGAAAAAATGACACCCAAAAGTGACAAGTGTCATTCCCAATATTTGTTTTAGTATTATGTTATTGATTATTTAATCTCAAATACTATTCGTACTCCGTTTGTTTTATTTGTTACTTGGATATTTGTATTCTCCTTGAACTCCTTGATTGATCTAGTTGTTTACCATGTTCACCGATTTTATGATTCACTCTTAGCCATGCCTAAATACCCCCGACCCTCTCCCGCGCATTGACCTCTTACAAGTCGTTCCTTAGCTCTAAAGTTTCCTTGGTCCAAACGCAACTACAGAAGCCTGCTTGAGAATAATATTTGATGAAATATAACCAGTTATATTCATCATGGTATGGTTTCATCACTATACAAAATTAGGGAATTTTGAAATGTATAAACAAATCACGTAACAACATACAAAGTATGATTGATTTTCTCATTCGAGTTGTTCGTTTGTTCCATATAAGGTACGGAGTATATTATCAATGGTTTTTGTATCTTATAATTAGAGACAACCTTAACTGACTATATGATTTGGGTTATAAAATTAGGAACACATGCAATTGAATTGTTCATGGGGTTGTCAAAGAGTAGAAAATTTTTAGGTCACATTTTTTCCCAGCGTCTTCCAAGTCCTTTAAAAATATAATTAAGTACAAATATTCCTACTTAATTACTTTGTTGTATAAAAAAAAACTACTTAATTGTAATCCAGGTGTTTTTCTTTAAAAAGATTGTTGGGTGGGGTACATTGCTCTATAAAGCAAAATAAATAAATAAATAAATAAATAAATAAATAAATAAATAAATAGAAAAAGAGAGGTGAAATTTAGCTGCAGATTATGATTGGTTGAATAACACTTTTTTTGAAATTGATAAAGGGAGGTAAAGTTTTTGATTCGTCTAATTTTATTTTTGCTCTAACTTTTTAGGCGTAAAATAAACTCCGTAATACTCAAAAATAACTTTTCTCTTTAATTTTTTTTTTGTCCTCAATTACTTGCTTTTCATTACCTTAATTTACTACTCGTAGAACTTTACTTTATTATCTGACCATTCTTTTTGTCATCTAATGCACTCTTTCACAAGGCATTTGTCAGATTAAAAGCAAATCTTAAAAGAAAAAGTGAAAAAAGGAAAGTAATTAGCTAAAACACAGTTGTTTTAATTTGTTGTCAGGAAAAAAATAATTTAAAAAGTAGAAAGAGGAAATAATTATTTTGTTTCTTTTCATTTGAAATCACTAGTGTTAAAAGATTAAATTATTTATATTTTGTTTTATTATTTCATATGCAAGGGGCAAATTTATTGATTTGCATGAAATGTTTTCTTAACGAGTATAAATTCTTCTCCTCATATTAAATTTTGATATACTCTTTTGGGTATCCAAACGAGATATGTATATCAAAACTATCAACTACGTTAATGATAAAATTTGTATATCGATGAACATGAGATTTACGCTTTGTTTGGATAGAAAACAAGGAATGAAAGGAAGGGGAGGGATAGAAGAGGAAATGAAGAGAGAAGAAAGGGAGGGGGAGGTGAGCTCCATTTTCCCTCCAAATCTCTCCAATTTTAGAAAGATTATGCGTATTAAATTGGAGAGATTATGCTTATTAAAGAGAGAGGGAACTCCCTCTCCTTTACATTCCTTCCCCCCAATCCTTTATCCAAATAAGAGAGTTTGTCCCCCTCCTTTTCTCTTTCTTTCTTTTTCTTTCATTTCCTTCTATCCAAACAAAATGTTAATTTTAAATTTTTAAGTGAAACAGTTAGTGATAGATACAAATTCTTTACTTTTAAATTTTAAGTAATGTTAATGCAATATAAGTTTACAAATCACGTCACATTACCACCAAAATACATCATAGACAGTGTCTAGTGAGCGTAATTTTCATCTTTTAGGAAGTAAGATATGTTAGACCTTAGATGTTTTCCAACATTCTTTTCCTGTGATAGACAAATATATATGCATCTAAACCAATCGGACTACTTATTAAGGTTACAAAACACCAACACAAGATCAAATTTACCAAAAGAAAAACACTCTTTACCATTGCTGATATACGGTTAGTTGATCACAATATTAAACCTAATCATAAGATATTACTCATCATAACCCAGCTTTATAAAACCATATGAATTCATATATAGTACCATTTGTATTTAATTTTTGTTAGAAGAATTGCTATGTTGCCGAGATAAATTCAAATAAGTGGAAAATCAGATGAATAAAACGCACCCTTAATTTCAATATACTGATACTATCACTTCTTTATTGTTCGATTCAATAAATCAAACTTTATTGTTTGTTGATGATTAACGGATCAAAACTACTCTTGTTACTAATACTTATAGATCTAAACTACTCTTTCGGTCTACTGACACAGTCAACTTTGCACACATGCCGATATACTAGTTTGATCTTATTTTTATATAATTTAAGAGTAATGAAAATTATTAAATAAATTATATTATAAAACATTATATTAATACCTATGTATCAACATATTTTATGATAAAATATGTATTTATTATGTTAGTAAAAAATTATGGTCAAAGTAGATATGTGAATAGTGAAAAAAGTTAATCACAATTGGGGGCTTGCCCTTCGGCTTCACAAAAAAAAAAAAAAAAAAAAAAACCCTTAGAGAATAAAACATTAAATAACCCTCTTTTGGATGCTAATTTAGTTAGGTTCAACAATATTACGCATAATATACATCATTGCCAATTTGTTACTAATCTTTATCATTGATTTTTTTCTTAGTTGAGCATAAGAACTTGACCTTCATCTAACTCCACCAATGAAATAAATTTCAAATTTCTCCATGAGTCCATATTCCATAGTGAGTTTGGCACCGAAATATTAGGGGAAGAAGAAAATAAACCTCCAAAATAGAAATAATTGATTTAGGGGAAAAGCCGAAACGGGCATGAACACCAAATATACCCCATGCATAAATCTTTTTTTTTTTTTTATATTTTTTTTTGTAATTTTAGAAAAAATATATTTTTATTTAATTTACAAAAATCACCAAATCCTTCATCAACAATAATAAAAAAAAAAAAAAAATCACCAAATCCTTTTTGACTTTTGACTCTAATGCATCGTCACAATTTAAAAATCAAAATCTTTACAACCTTCTATTTTCCCCATAAAACAATCTCAATTTCCAATTCAAAAAAAGAGCAAACATTTTCATTTTATTATTCTTTTTTCTTCCATTATTTAAATTGAAAATAAAACCAATAATAAAAAAATATAAAAATAATAATAAAAAAAAAACCTTTGTTCTATAAATACAATCACTAGTACCACTTTGCACTGGCAAATAACCCTGTTTTATCAACTCCAAAACCCCAAAAACTTCCCAACTTCAGTGCTTGCAACATGTAAAAACTCTCTGATCCATCAATCAAATCTCAACATTTACAATTTATTTCTCACACCCATCTTTTTCCTTATTTATTTTCATTAATTAAATTTATTATCATATCTTAAAACCCATCTTTTCAAATCTTTCAAAACGCCCATTTTCTCTGTTTTTTTCCCCTGTTTTTTTTGAGCAAAAAACAGAGAAATCCCCTGTTTTTTCAAAAATGGGCAGAGCAACTCGATGGTTTAAATCCATTTTAGGAATGAAGAAGCAAAATGACAATGAAAAACCTGCTAAAAATAGTAAATATGAAGATGGGTTTGGGAAGAGAGAGAAAATAGGAATGGTGGAAAAAAGATGGAGTTTCACAAAAACAACAACAAAAGAAAGAGTGAAAGAAAAGGAGAATCAATGGTATAGAGATTATCAAATTTCTGAGACTGAAAAAGAGCAAACTAAACATGCTATTGCTGTTGCTGCTGCTACTGCTGCTGCCGCTGATGCCGCTGTTGCGGCGGCACAAGCGGCGGTTGCTGTGGTTAGATTGACGAGCCAAAACAGAGGAACTCTGTTTTCTTGTGGTGGTGGAACTGAGAGATGGGCAGCTGTTAAGATTCAAACTCTTTTTAGAGGTTATTTGGTAAGTTTTCATTTTATTTTATTTTGTCCACTTTATTTATCATTGGAATTTGAGTATTTAGCCATTTTGAATTTTTGACTTTTAGTTTTTATTTATTTATTTTATTTTATATGTGTGATTTTGGGTTTAAGATGGGTTTTTGTTTTGTGATTATAATATATAAGTTAAAAATGGTGGGTTTCTGATTTTATATTCACAGTTTTAATATGTTCATGCTTAAAAGGTTGTAATGTTGGTGGGATTTGATCTACCTACGCTAGTTGACATCCATATTGTTGTTGTAGTTAGGTTAAGAGCAAGTTGAGGAATTTTTTGGGTTATCAATTTGATTTTCATGGACAAAATGTAGAATATGAATTTTGTTAGATTTTCTATAGTACCATGGTTTTAAATTAATTTTTCAACCGTGTACTAATGAAAGCTTTAAAACTGAAGATATGATATCTAAGAATTGGTTGGAAATTGAAGAGTAAATGATTTTCACTTTCTAGAGGTGGAAAAAGGTACTTCTGGTAACTTAAAAAGATTATTTTCAAGTTACTACTTCAAGAGTGATTTGGTCAACTTTTTTTGTTAAGTTTGTTTTTGACATTGTGAGTGCATTATTTGTTTTTGAATTTGAAACTAATTACATAAGCAACAAACTAAAAATATTGTTTTGTAAGTTAGTTTTGCTTTCTAAAGTTTTGAATTTATAATTTCAACTTATGAAAATAATTACTCATGATTAAGAAACTAAATTTGATTTATGTTTGATGGATGAAATCCGATTATATTACCGAGTTTATAATTTGACTAGCGAATTGTATTAACCTGAAGCTAAATGGTTTAGATTCTATTGATGAAGGAATGTAACATTTTAATGCTGTGAATTAATAGGCCAGAAGAGCACTGAAAGCTTTAAAAGGACTAGTGAAATTACAAGCTCATGTTCGAGGCTATCTTGTTCGAAAGCGAGCTGCGGCCACTCTACATAGTATGCAAGCTCTCATAAGAGCTCAAGCCGGTGTGCGTTCTCAAAGGGCCAAGTTAGCTCTAAATCGAAGTAGTAAGGTTCCCTCGGAGTTTCGATCACGAAAATCCATGGTAAGAGTCTCGAATTGTACTCGAAAAATTGATGATCAAAATTTAATTAATTGCATCTATAATGACTAATGTGTGATGTTTCCCTACTTTCCAGGATAATAGGTTTGATGAAACGCGGTGTGATCAATTTTATAGCAAGAGACTATCAACGTCGTTTGAGCCGTACAATAATGCATATGAAGGGAGTCCGAAAATCGTTGAGATTGATACATATAAGACTAAGTCAAGGTCAAGGAGGATCAACCCTTCAATGTATGATTTTAGTGGTGAAGAAATGCAATACCCAACAATGTCTTCACCACTACCATCACATCCTTACCCGGGCCGGATTTCCATACCCGAATGTAAGAAGATCCCTCATGACTATGATTGGGGATTCTATGGCGACGAATGTAAGAGCTCAACGGCACAAAGTACACCCCGGTTTGCAAATTCGATCCGATCCAATGGTCCTCTTACCCCCACCAAGAGTGTGTGTGGGGATAGCTTCTTTAGGCCTTACTCGAACTTCCCTAGCTATATGGCAAATACACAATCGTTTCGAGCCAAGTCGAGGTCTCAGAGTGCCCCAAAACAAAGGCCGGAGGGGCGGCCTAAAACTCGTCTATCATTGGAAGATATAATGGCAGCTAGAAATAGTGTTAGTGGTGGTAGAATGCAGAGGTCTAGTTCTCAAGTTCATGATTGCTTGAACTTGTGAAACTAAATGAGGATCACTTTGTGTTTTGTTGAAAATAGTGAAGCATAGAAGTGTTTGTAGTCTTGGCTATGTTCTTCAGTAAAAATTTAGAAACACAGGGTGCTTGTATATTCTAAAGAAAATTAACTAATTACCCATGAAAATGTCTCTACTCTTTTAATCATATCAACCTTATGCAAATTCTGTCCAAATCCTCATATTTAATTTCTCAAAATAACTCAAAAAAATTGAAATTTCTTAGATAGATTTTACATTCAAGTCGTATCTATAAATGTGGTTTATTTTAGTTATTTACAGTCTTGAGTCTCTTGACAAAGATTCTCGTATGGAGCATACATTATTACTCTGTATCAATTGTGACTCTCTTCACATAAATGAAAAATAAATAAAATAATGCGATGTATTTGTGTCAATTAAAACCCCAAACCTAAGCTACCCTCCAAATGAAAAAGATCGCCTTATCATTGTACTAGATCCATGCATTATTAGTACTTGCGTAGATTCTTAAAACACAAATTCTAATATTTGTATGTGGCTGGCCATACCGTGTGGCCAACTAACATAGGGGTTACTTCGTTAGTGTAATACGGGTTACTTGATCAGTATTAAAGGGGTTACTTCGTCAATGTTATAGGGTTACTCGGCTCGGTCAGTGTTATAAGGATTACTTGGTCAGTGTTACAAGGGTTACTTGGTCGGTGTTATAGGGATTACTTTTTTCTTTTATAAGTGGCCACACGGTGATGCGGATCAAGCATCAAAAATTTTAGAATCTACATTAATTTTCTTTAGGATTTATTTTTCGTATTCGTATGATTTAGTTAAGATAATATTTATCTTTTTATAAGATATTATTAGAGATTATAGGATTTTATTTTATCTTTTAGGTTTGTTTATCCTATCAGGCAGGGGATTGTATGCCTATAAATATTTGTTTTATTAATGAGAATAGAGAATGTCTTTGAGTTTATTAAAATATGAAAATTGTAAGTTAGTTCGAGTGAATCGAATTGATTTCAAAACGTTGTTTTTCTTTCGAAAAGATCAAAATTTACGTTGCTTTTCTTATCTTTTAAGTCGAAAAGATCAAAACTTATTGAATTAGGTTTAACCCTAATTGCTAGTATCTCTTATTGTGGTTTAATCCACATCAAATTGGTATCAAGAGCCAAATGTTTAAAGAGCTTTTCAGTTCATTAAGATCTTGGTAGCCCTTTATTTTCTTCAACTTTGAACTGTTTTGAGGATCAGATTCAAGTGGCTATATCTCCTTCATTACAAAAGCTTTTTCAACAATTCTTTTTTTAAATCTGGGTATTTTTTTTTGTCTAGTATTCACATACAAAATTTCAGAATTTTTCGAGAATTTATGCTATTTAACTGGGTCAGTTTCTGCCAATGAGTCAGTTTTGAGTCGGGTTCGTGATTGATTGCTATTGACTTATCTTTGTTAATGCAATTTTGTTGTTCAATATGGGCGACCAAATTGAACCTATTATTATACTTATGGATAGAATGTTGGAAATGAATCAACAATTGCAACAATCAACACAAAAATGCCTAGAAGTTTTTGTTGAGATGCAAGAGTATGAAAGAGCAAAAGCACATGAGATGGAGGTGGTTGACTCTAATTCTATGAACAAGGTTGATAATATTTCAAATCTGGTTGTGAAAGATGAAGAAGAAACCAAGGTGCTAGATGATGAATTAGATTTAGTTTTGTCTTATTCATTAATTGATGCAACCCAAGCAATTAATCAAGATGAAAAGAAGATCCGAGCTCTACAACATATTTTATTTTTGTGAGAAAATTAGACTTGGTTGTTCATGATATATCTTTTCTTAATTATTTCAATTGTTTGCATATGGAAGCAACCACACTGAAAAGTGGAATTGGTGGTGTTTAGGGTAAAATTACCCATGACAAATGGACCAATCCGGACCTGCCACTTGTCACCCTAAGAGGTCCAACATGGACTAATCAGGCCACGCCACGTGGCCTCCCATATGCCAAATAGGCAAAATGGCCACCAAGGCCCAAAGTCCGAGAGAAGCCCAATTTGCCCTGGTTAACCTAAACCTAAAATTGGCACGCTTCTCAAGACTATAAATACTTAATTAATCCTCATTAAAGGAGATTCAACAATTAATGGCTCTCACCTAGAGAAGTCTAAACACATTGATCACTCCTCCCCTAGAGGAACCAGATCTCCCACCTTTACTTTCCGCATTTATCACTCCTCAAACAAGTACTAACTTGACCGTTGGAGGCGGAGCTCCCACCACAAGGAGTCTCCGTTGTTTTGCAGGTACAGGCGCAAGGATACCAGTCCCGGAATTGTAACTCTCCCGCAGGACATCAGAAAACCCCGAAACAGGTGGTAAAATCAAAAGAGGTGGAAACAATGATGTTAAGGGAGAGAATATATTTTCATATTTTGTTCGTTTGATTTGGATGATTTCTTGGTTCGAGAAAACTTGGGACAAGTTTTTTTTAAGAGGGGGAGAATGATGCGGATCAAGCATCAATTTCAGAATCTACATTAATTTTCTTTAGGATTTATTTTTCGTATTCGTATGATTTACTTAAGATAATATTTATCTTTTTATAAGATATTATTAGAGTTTATAGGATTTTATTTTATCTTTTAGGTTTGTTTATCCTATCAGGCATGGGAAGTTAGTTCGAGTGAATCGAATTGATTTCAAAACGTTGATTTTCTTTCGAAAAGATCAAAATTTACGTTGCTTTTCTTCTCTTTTAAGTCAAAAATATCAAAACTTATTGAATTAGGTTTAACCCTAATTGCTAGTATCCCTTATTGTGGTTCAATCCACATCACACGGTGTGGCCAGCCACACACAAGACAGACTGTTCTTAAAATATATTGATAATACTAATATTTTATGTATTTTATGTATTACTAATTTGTGATTAAATTTTCTCTTTTTTGCCACTTAAATCACAAATAGTCATGGTACGTCATATAATGGGAAAAAATTTTAGAAGTTGGATCTTATGTAAAGAGTTCAATGTTTCCTCTTTCGTTCTAAATTAGTTGACATGGTTTTCCTTTGACACTTTTCATAAACTTTACTTCGATTAGCATTTGTGATTTATAGATATGAAAAAACAAAGTCATGTAGGATCATATTAATTAGATTTGTTTCAATGTGTACTTATACAAATCAAATTTTGAAGAGTGAAATAAGAATGACATATGCAAGAGGATTAGCTCAAACATTCACTGAAAATAGAGAGAAAGGAGGCATAATAGAAGAGAGAATATTAGGTCATTTCTCATTATTCTCCAAGGACAGTGTGCTGCAGATTATATACAAGCTAGAGGACAAAAATAACAGCTAATCCTTATAGCTAGTCATTGGCTAAGAAGCATTACAAGCAAACATGAAAAATATAACAATCAGCTGCTATGATTATAGTGCCCTTGAAGCTATATAGTAACCTCATTATCCCCCTTAAGCCGAGAGGCAGGAGGAGATGTGACTCCTAGCTTGAGAAGCAGGTCATTGTGTTGCTTGACAGAGAGAACCTTGGTGAAAATTTCAGCTACTTGATTGGAGGATGAAACACGTTTAGTCTCGATAGTCCCTGCCTTGACCATATCCCTGACATAATGACAATCAATTTCGACATGCTTTGTCCTTTCATGCATCATAAGATTTGCAGTTATTGCCAAAGCAGCCTTGTTGTCACATTTAAGGACAGCAGGATCTAGATGAGACAAAGTTAAGTCCTTGAGCAGAGCTTTGATCCAGGTGACCTCATAGGCTGTTAGAGTCATTGCTCGATATTCAGCTTCAGCTGATGATCTAGCCACCATAGTTTGTTTCTTGGACTTCCAAGAGATTGGAGAATGTCCAAGTAGAATGCATTATCCTGTGGTTGACCTTCGAGAAGTAGGACAACTTGCTCAATCTTTGTCACAATAAGCAGTGAGGGTAGCAGATGATGCTGAAGCAAGCAATATTCCCTAAGAACTTTTGCCAGCCAGATATCAAAGAAGCTTTTTAGCATCTTGCATGTGTATAGTGGTTGGAGAATGCATGAACTGGCTTAATACTTGGGCAGTGAAAGATATGTAAGGCCTTGTGACTGTAAGATAGATCAGTTTCCCAAGAAGTTGCTGCTATGAAGCAGGATTAGGCAGAGCATCTCCCTTGTCAGAACACAGCTTCAGATGAGTATCCATTGGCAATTTCAATGGTTTGACATGAAGCATATTGTATTCATTCAGCAAGTCTGTAGTGTATTTCTTCTGGGAAATAAAAATGCCCTAATCACATCTGTCTATTTCGAGACCTAGGAAAAATCTCAAAGGACCCAGATTCTTCATGTGAAATTGAGAGGATAACAGGAGCTTAGTTTGATCAATTTCTTGCTGATTATTGCCAGTGATCAGCAAGTCATCTACATAGACAAGCACAACTATGAAGTTGTTGTTATGAGTCCTAGTAAAAAGACTGTAATATGCTTTTGACTAAGTGAAACCAGGAGATGACTGTTTCAGATAGCTTGGAGAACCACTGTCTGGGTGCTTGCTTCAACCCATATAGTGACTTCTTCAACCTACATACCATTTGACTGTTTTTACAGGGAGCAGAGCCACTTGCATATACAGTGACTTCTTCAACTTGCAACCTTGCATACCATTAAATTTTCGGATTTTTCATGAAATACCACTGAGTTTTTCCAAAATTCACCATATACCACACAAAAATTTTTAATTCACCATATAGCACTGAGTTTATGTACATTAACACAAAATGCCATTTTTTCTAACTGCCGTTAGCATGTCGTTAACGCCGTTAGTAATTAAAATTAATTGTGCCACGTGGCTTTCACTTATTGGCTCTTATTAATATTATCTAATTAATTACTTAAATAAAGAATTAAAGAATAATTGATTGTCCCTTCATATTAATAAAATTGAAAATATAAATTTTAAAAATAATTATTAAAAAAAAAAAACCATCAAACCAACCACAACCACCAGATCCTTCTGCCACCCGCCTCTCACCACCGCCGAAGCCCAAGACCCAATCAACCACCTCCCTTAGCCGGTGCCCCGAACCTCCGCCCGCAGCCGGCGTCGCCCCTCCCCCTTATACCACGATCCCCCACCTTGAACTGTCTTTCCT